TAGGCCCATTTGTGTTTATAATCACTCCCGCTGGTTTCCTGATACATTCAATCTGCCACATGAAACTATCTAACATCATAAAGTCATGAAGCTGATGTCTCATCTGCCAGCTTCTTGTTCAAATTTTCCCGTTATATCTTAAATGGTGCCTGACTGTAACTGCTGCATCATTTAAGGTGTAATGGGAAAATTCGAACAAGAAGCTGGCAGATGAGAAGCAACTTCAGCCTCGCAAAAAGTCGAATGTTGAGAGACATTTTACAAGAGACAACTTTTGTGGAACAGAGATGCGAGAAAGCAGCTATAGCTGAGCTAAATTTTTCTTTATATTAATGTTATTTTTTAGTCTATTCTAGTACTTTAGCACATACTGAGACATATTTACAGGCAAGATGGTAAACTGGGCATAAAATGTTGGGCTCCCAAGGTGGTTTGTTTTTTGTTGAAAGGACAAAGTGGATCTTCTTCACATTTGGGTTGCGACCCCCGCAGAAGGGGAAAGTAATTAAGTCAGGAGACAAAGATGAATATCCGAGATTTACTTTGCAGCTGGATAGTTAACTGGGGTGTTTACAGTGCGTGTATGAAGCATAAATAGATGTGCAACATAGTCTGGAAGAGTATTGTGCTTTAATGAGAAGGCAAAAATAAATACCCAGCACTGACAGTAATTTGTTTTGCAGCTGGGGTACTGGGTGGGGTAATAAAGGCTACATCAAGATGTCCAGGAACAAGAGGAACCAGTGTGGTATTGCCTCATATGCTTACTACCCTGTGGTTTAACGGTATAACTTCATTAAAGTTGTCAGTCCTCATCCACACAGATCTACACTGTTGAGTTGAGCTCCAGCTTCCTGTTTCAGACGCTGAAGAAAATGTAATGTAGATGTAGTGTGCCAGTTGAAAATCTAGTTAGTATTGCTGTTTTTCATGTCACTGTAGCTGTGCACAATTACTCTTGTGACCCAAAAATGTTTTATAGTCAGTCACATTCCCTAACAGTTTGAACTGTGAATAGAAGAAGTTTTAGTGATTCCAGTTGAATCTGAACTTTGCAGGTCAGTGGATCTCCTGGAGCTGAGATGGGATCTCTAGAATTAGAACTGAACTACATCAATGAATATGTTGTATCTCTAACTATAATAAAACATTAAGGAGTAGCATGTGAATAATTCTGTTAAATGTTGTTTTTCTACAGACTGGAGAGAGACAGAATCTTGAAAACCTCAAGAAGGAAGTTCTGGCCACTGTTATTTTCCTTTTCCTCTGATTCCTTTCCTTTCTTTTTTCACTTCTTTTAAAGTGGTTTAAGCATTAGATAAGCATTACACTTTCTTAAAATACAAATTAATCAGAAAATACTGTTTCTGACTGTTCAAAACAAAATAAACTCTCAGCATTCATAAAATCTATAATGACTGTAATTCATTCCAGCTCCTCACACCAGCACACATGTGCACACTCATTATGATCCAGCAGCACAATGTTGTTATGTAGAGTTTATTTCAGTGTAGTTTGCATAGTTTTATTATGCAAGTCTACTTATTAGGTCTGTTTGGACAGTTTTCCTGTAAACTAAAGCAATTTCAATTTTTATGCAGCAATTATTAAAGACCCACAGCACTCAAAATCATGCTTTTTAATGCTAAACTCATCTTAGATCGACTTTCTCAGTATTTCAGTTTTTAAATAAGTGGTTTGCTAAATACTAAATATTAAAATTATGTACTCCGTTTTGTGCATAGGACTTCACAACAAACAATAAACAAAAATGTGAACAGTAAACAAAACAATAATGTAAACTATTAAAATGCTGGACAACACATGAAGAGAAGACATGAAGAAGAAGAAGACGTGAGACACATCTTTACAAGAACAGACCTGAAAGTTGTTGAAATGTAATGGATGTGACCACTAGCACATTCTTTTGTGCTATAGATATTTCAGGGGACCCCTAATGCATGGGGGGCTTCTGTCAGGCCCTGGAGGCCTCAGTCAGCTTTTTCTCATGTTTCCACGCCTATTTAATGGACAAAATGAGAGAGCGAACCAGGAGTGAACCCTGCACTGCCCAGCATTGATTTGGGAATCCATGCTATTTCTGAGGAAATTAGATATAAGACAATCCACTTGCAAAAAAAGTTTTCAAAATTGTAGCACAAAAAATGACAGAGAAAAATTGACTTGTTGGTTTTTGGTCTTGATCTAGTAGACTCGGCTGTAGCAGTCTTGTCTATAACACTACAGCTAATAGTTTATAAATGTAAATGCCAGATTTTCTGCTTGTGCTGAAATGAATTATGATGTCCCACAAGGCTCTGTTCTAGGACCATTGTCATTCTCATTATACCTCCATTTACTCCCGTTACACAAACATGATATTAACATTCTTTGCTGGACCAAACTGAATTACTGGTCTACTGTACAGGCCACTGTTCACTGTAACTGGATGCTCACAGGACTGTGGGAGAAACACAGATCTGAATCAGATAACACTGGTTTGGATTCATCTGAAATTGAGCTACTTCCACTTATTATAGACACCTGTAGAATAAACTCTCAGGAGAGTGAACACACTTTAAACTTCTGTTACTGCATTTCACTGAAACACTTCACTTTAACAATATTAGCTGCTAGAATTACTGTATCAACCAAATACTGTATACTGTATATTGCTGCTCTGGTTGCTACCTCAGTGACTGCTATGCTCATATATGCAAGGCTATCTGCTAAGCTGCTAATATGTCATAGTATGTTACATCTTCCTTTGCACAGCTCCACATACTCTCAGTACCGTGTACTGCCTGTGTTCTGTTTTGTATTTATTGTAAGTTTTTCATATTTATTTATTGTACTGTATTGTCTGCACTGTGTATATTGTATTGTTCTGCACTTGTGTTCCTGTGTTGGTCCTGGAGGAATATTGTTTCATTTTACTGTGTACTTGTATATAGCTGGAATGACAATAAAGCCTGACTTGACTTGACTTGAGTTATGACAGTGGATAATGATCACTTTCCTGAAATCCAAGCCCCCAGAGAAGACCAGTGAGGTTGAACAGATATTGCTCCCATGGACTGATGACTGAATGGGATGAGAGAGTGTTGATACAACAGTTGATAGCAGATGAGCAACTGAAATGACTAGGAGATGAGCAGGTTCCCAGGAGCACCCAAAACAAACAATTCAAGTCTAGTCTGAGGCATGGAGAGGAGACAAAATGAAGGCCTATGAGGCATGCATCATCCAGAGAAGAGACAGATGGAGCAAGATTAGTTGTTCTGAAGGGGTTCCAGAGGCAACACGCATGGTGTCACTTCCAGGTTCAGAAAGAAAGGATGAAGTATGCAGTGCTAGCAGGAGGTCTGTATGATGCTTGAAAAGGTGACAGTGCAGTTCCAGATTCTGATAGGAGTGGGTGGACGCATTCTGTGGCTGAAAGTAGGGCTGAATGATTTATTTTCTATGATGAGGCCAATTTGGTCGAGGAGACCCTCGAACATAGTGTACCAGACTGCCTGTTAGTTGTGCCAGGGGTCGTGTGGTCATGTTCACAGCATGTGGGTGTGTTGGGAGTTGGGTCAAATGATCTCCCTCTCTAGGAGAGATGGTGAGCATGGTAAGCGACAAAATGTCTGTTGCACAGTGGCACATAGCAATACTGTCATTCACTGCTCATTGCGAAAACTTTGTCACAGGAAATGGAAGAAAGAGATGGGACTTTGTAAGTGATTTGAAATGCAGACAGTTTCTAAGTATTGGTCCAAGTCCACTTTTTTAAGAACACCTGTCTCGCATCCTTCCAGCTTTGACTCACACATGGACATTTAGCAGAATCCTGTGGGAGATTACATGACTGTTGAATTTCTTCAATCCTCCAATCACCATTCACAATCACCAGAAAATGGATGTCTTGCACCTGTTCTATGTGTCATATGACCACTAGTGTAGTTTAAAAGCGTGCGTTTTAGAGTAAGCCAGTTGCGAGGTATTGCTTCTCATAGTACTGAGCATTTCCAACTGCCCCCAACTGCTCCCCGGGCGCTGAGGATAGGACTGCCCACCACTCCAGCCAAGTGTGCTCACTGCCCCCTTGTGTTTGTCTTCACTAGTGTGTATGTGGTGTTTCAAAGCACGGATGGGTTAAATGTGGAGGTGAAATTTCCCCATTGTGGGACTAATAAGGGTCACTTAATCTTAATTTAATCTTTCCTGTTTGCCATTTTTGTGTATTTGACCCTGTTTCTGGGTTTTCTGACTTTGCCTTTATGTCTTTGCCTTTTTGGACTTGGTTTCTTTTGTTATGTTTGTCCTTGTTTGTCTTTTTGCTCTTTTGGATTTGACCTACGCTACAAGATGACCAACTACAATTCTTGTGAAACCCTTTACAAGTAAAGCCTCATTTCTTGTGCTTTACCGTGAGTGTCTGACTGATTCTGTCACATTACAACACCACAGTGTTTGAACCAGGACTTCATAGCCTCTTGTTCTTGGCATCTAGCTCTTGTTTCTGAGCATGCATTTTTTGAGATGTCATGAAAAACCTAGCCATTTACATTTCTCTGCCTGTTCAGGCACCTATTTATTGTGCCCCGCCTTGGCGCTCAGGACTGAGAGCTGGTCTGGCCACTGCGCACCTGGACCTGCGCATTGTTGTGAAAACAATGACGCTGAAAAAGAAGTGTAAAATTAAAGTGGATGATGCTGAGTAACTTTAAATGTAATGGTGGAGTTCACTCTCAGTTATCTACAATGTAACTCAAAAGTTATGAGATGAATACTGTGAGCTGTGATGACCACTAGGAGGCCTCCATAAACGGGTTAAATGAACAATTGATAATTGTTGATTTCATTAATAAAACATGTACTAATTGGGCAAAATAGAATAAAAATTGGATCAATTTTGGACTCAGCATTAGTAGATTAGGGTTATTGGAGGTGAGAACATAACCACAGCACGGGTGAGGGTTGGGTTTTGGTTTGAGGTTTTTGGTTAGAGTTAGGATTAATGCCAGAGTGAGGGTTAGATTTTGGGTAAGGTTGGGTAAGGTTAGGTTTTGCTTATTGGAAGTAACATATTAAATCTAGTTCATGTAACATGTCAACAATGCATTTTAATGTAACCATTTCCTTAATATCACCTCAGAGACTTCCTCTCGGCAGAATGAGGGTTTTGCTCGCTGTCTCTGCTCTTGTGGTTGTGGCCGGTGCAGCCAGTGTTTCTCTGGAGGATCAGGAGTTCCACACCTGGAAACTGAAGTTTGGTGAGAAATCTTTAATTAGGATAAAGTCTTACATATTATTTATTATAGTTATAAATATATATGTGTATATCTGAAAGAATAGCAAATTAAAATTTATTTATTTGTGCAGTAGGTGGTAATTTAAACATAAATGATACAAAAACATTAGAATAAATAAAAATTATATTAATATATATATAATAATGTATATTAATATATATTAATATATATAATAATATAATAATGAAAGTAATTGTTGTTTGTTTTACCATTTTCAAACCTCTCCTTTATTAACTGTAGGTTTCTAATTATTTTGTTGAATCAGGTATGATTTTGATGGAATTTAATAAATCTGGAGGCATCCAGGAGAAACTAGCTCACAATACATCCAGTACTTTTATTCTGATACCTGATATTTTTTCATCATGATGGGCAGCCCTATCCGCAGTACCCAGGGAGCAGTTGGGGGTTAGGTGCCTTGCTTAAGGGCACTTTAGTCACGTACTGTCGGCTCAGGGGATCAAACCAGCAACCTTCCGGTCACAGGGCTGGTTCCCTAACCTCCAGCCCATAACTGCCCCAAGACTAGGGCCAGAGTGAGGTGTTAGAAATTCAGCAGGAAGAGTCAGGAGACTGGAGCTTCAGCGTTGACTGGAGTTTATTTCCACATACAGAGTATGGGTACAGCGTGGTCCATCAACAGTCAATCAGCAGTATCAGGAGTCTAGTCTTATTCATGTGCATGCGGACAATCATGCATGGACACAGCTTGGTCATCAGTGTGTCACTAGTCTGGTCTGGTCACCAGTCTAGTCTAGTCCAGTCTGATGACATGGTCTGACATGGTTTAAGTAGAGACACTGGGGGTTGGGGGAGGAAGGAGGAGGAAAAGGAGTTTGAGGAGCGATAAGGAGGGGTTGCAGAAGGAGAATATGAATAGAGATGTAGGGGGTAGAGATAAGGGGGGTGACTGTTATCAGCTTAAGGTTGTGAGACAAAGGGTCATTTCAATACAAACAAAGGGGCAAGGTGAGAGTGCAACCAGTTTCACCTTTCTGCCATTTGCTTAAACTCTACAATGAACATGGTATAGACCTTAAGAAAATAATATAAGGGACAATAGCATATGTTGAGAATATTTTCTCTCAGAGGGTTAGGGTTAAATTTTGGATTGAGGTTATGATTAGGGTTAGAATTTGGGCCAAAGTGAGGATTATGATTATGTTTTGGATTGAGGTTAAGATTTTTAGACTTTGGGACACATTTACTTCAAAACAATGGGATCTAACTGTTCACCATGTGGCCATAGGGGACAAGGATGCAGCCTCACTTCCTGCTCTAAAATGCAGGGGCGTGGCTAAAATATGGCTCCACCTGTGGTGTTTTGGTAGTGACATGAAAACGTGAGCATTTTTTGAATAAAGCTTTCTTTATTTACTCATAACTCATAATCTACATCTTTCAACTTCTTAATACGATAAAAAAAAATACAAAAATATCAATCAGGAAGTTGAAGCTATTTGGGCCAGGGGAAGACCTCGTCCCCAGCCAGGGGTCCACACTCCCCAGGCCCACCTCCTCCACCCTGCAAACCTGGCCCACAGCAGAGAAAGACAAAACCAGGCACAGGGACAGGTGCGAGCAATGGACATGCTGGGAGGGGCTGGGGCATCGACAACCCTGGCTCATCCAGCAGAGTGCAGTGAGGAGGGAGAGAGGAATAAGCCGTGTCCAGACGGGAGGGAGAGGGACGAACCAGACTAGGGCGGGCAGGGAAGGGGGCTTTCTCTGTGCCATATTCCCCATCCAACGCTGAAAGCACTGCAGCCACAGCAAGAGCTCCTTGGGCTCGAGCACATCTTGTGTGGCTTGTGGGAGCTCAGCCACTTCAAAGGACATGCTTTCCTCATCATCACAACAGACACAACAGCAGCAATAACCCGGCTCAGTGTTGTCACACTCCGCTGCCCGATTTCACTCTTTTGGGCACCTCTCACACCCACCTAACTCAGGCGGTGCCAGGTACCGCCTCTCCTTCAGGAGCGTAGAGGCTGGTAAATCAGCCCAGCCAATCCGCTGCTGTCTCCTTTGGGTTGTCGAGCTGATTGCTCCATGCCTAGTAGAAGAGCTTCAATGGGACCAGGAAGAAGGGATCAAGTCGCTGGCTCTGGCTTCTTCTATTCTTTCTTTTCTTTGCTCTTGGCATTTTTCTTTTTGTAAACGAAACGGAAAAAAGCAAAATTAATGGCACTCACGGTGTAGCTGTGGCGTGCCTCTGAGCCTAACTCGGCTCCCAGTCACAGGACCCACCCAGAAAGGAGCGGGGCCCACATTCTCCACCAGTGTGGCATGGCCAGAGGAAGGGCCAAAACACTGACTGGGAAACCCAATGAGAGCACAAAGGCACACACACAAACACCAACGCAAGTGAACAAACATGCTTTATTTACACGTGTCTAAACGAAACAAAACTGAAACTTAACTCTGCGTCGGCTTACTTAGCGTCGGCCTGCAAAGAGTCCTCTTCTTTTTTCTCCTTCTCGCTCCCTCTATTCTCCAGAGAGAGCTCATTTTCAAAGGTGGCTGTGCTCCTCTTCTCATTAGTCACAGCTGCACTATATCAGGGGAAAGGAGCAGCTCACACCTGTGTGGGGGAGGGGTCACGGTGGCTCCATCTTTCCACCACCACAATATATATGAAAGTATTTGGACCACATGACTTTTTGCACACCTTACTGTTTTATTGATTTGATTTTGAATCAATATAATTGGATATTTATTCATTAATCCATACTTAATCATCCGTAATGACAGTGAAACATGGTTTTAAAGCTTTTAGAAAACTAATTTTCTAATTCACAAAAGTATTCAGAGCTTTCATTCAGTACTTTGTAGAAGCCCTTTGGCAGCAATTACAGCTGCAAGTGTTTTGGATACTTCTCTACAAGCTTTGCACACCTGGATTTGGGCAGTTTATGCCATTCTTCATGGCAGATCTTCTTAAGGCAATCTTCAGGTATCTGTATAGGTGTTCAATGGGGTTTAGGCCAGGGCTGGCTTTGGCTGGGCCACTCAAGAACATTCAGAGACTTGCCCCAAGGCCACTTTGGTGTTGTTTTGGCTGTATGCTTTGGGTCATTGTTATGTTGAAAGAGACACTGTTACCCCAGTCTGAGTTTGCATGCACTCTGAAGGAGGTTTACCTTAAGAATGGTCATGTATTTGGCTGCATTTTTTTGTTTCCCTTTACTTGCTACTGAGAAGCACCCACATAGCATGATGTTGCCACCACCATGTTTCACCTTAGGGATGGCATTAGCCAGGTGATGTGCAGTGCCTGTTGCTAGACAGAATGCTTGCTGTTCTGCCCAAAGGGTTCAGTTTTTGTCTCACCAAACCAGAGAATGTTTTTCTTCACCTTGCTCCAACTCCATGAAGCATTTTTCCCTAGTAAGCTTCCGTCTCGCCATTCTGCCATACAGGCCGGATTTATGAAGTGCTGAAGAGATGGTTGTCTAAACAATAGGTTCTCCCATCTCTGCACAGACCTTTTGGAGCTCTTTTAGCTCTTTTACCTCCCTGACCAAGGCCCTTCTTTTCCTGATGCCCAATTTGGCTGGATGACCATCTCTAAGAAGGTTCAGGTTGTGCCAAGCTTCTTCTATTTCAAAATTGTTGAGGCCACTGTGGTCCTAGGAACACTCAAAGCCTTGTTTTATATGCATGCCCTGATCTTTGCCTTGCCACAATTCGATCTCGGAGATCCACAGACAGTTCCTTGGACTTCATGACAATGCAGTGTGTGATGGGGTCAGTAAATCTGTCCCATCACCAAGACTGTGAAAGGACACCAGGGCATAGAAAGGGGGGCAACGACTGGAGTGAAACCTAGACTATGGTAAAATGTACATAGAAGAAATACTTACCTGGTTCTGTCCTGATCCTCAGGGGAGTGCGGGCGCCTTCCAGGGCTTCCCTTATACTGGCCGGTAGAGCCCACGGCTGTGTGTAGGAGGGGTAAATTAATATAAATGAGTGTGATTAACGGTAAAAGAAAGCTTCTTGTTATGTGTATTATTTGTATTGTGTTTATTGTCCTGAAGTTGTTTGGTTATTGTTTGTTTTGTGTATCCCCTCACTAGCCCTAGGGAATGGTTTGGGTTAACCAGATGGGGTGGGGCTAGGGTGTTAAAAGGGGGGTGAAATTCATTTGAGGGGGAGGAGAGAGGATGTGTCTATATGGCCTTGCGGCCACCGGCACAACCTGGCTGATGCCTAGCCAGGAATATCCGTAGTGGACTGCTTAGATGCTTGGAAATAATCCATTTCTGTCTTAGTCATTTTAGTTGCCCTGCAGCCCGTTTATTTTATGGTTACAATATTTTCTTTCACTTTTTGCGTGCTTGTGTGCAAATAAAATATCACGTGTGTGCAAGTCGAACTTTGGAGCCCCGCCTGATCTTTTCGAGGGGAACTTAGCCTCTAAACCGTCACGCTACATGTAGACTAGTGCAGTTCTGCAATCCCCACACCCCAACATTCCCACAAATGGTGGCAGCGAAAAAGTCTTGGAGAGTAACGCAAGCAAACGACAAGAGGCAGACGGTGCCAGCGTGAAGTTCAAGACATCCTCATTACTTGAAAGGATGGCTTCAAAGAGACCCCTTTCATCACAAAGCGCACAACAAGATGTGCAAACAGTGGTAGAAGAAGAGGCGACAAACCGGCTGGCTGAAGCGACACCGAGCGGCTCAACTAGCGACATGGAGCAAGTATGCAGCATGCTACAAAGCTTCATCAGAGAGTAGAGGGCAAAAGATGAGCACCTGCGAAGTGAAGCAGCTAAAAATGAGCAGAGGTGGCGCACAATGCAGCATCAGTTCGGTCTACTCCAAGCAGAAGTGCAAAGACGCGCGTGAGTGGAGAGCGTGGTGAGTCGAGCGAACCGACAGAGTCACAGATTCTCCGGAGCATGCATACTGCCAGCGGAGTCCAGAGAAGAGGTGCGGAAACTCCACTGCAACAACAGCACTTTGTGAGCACGATATGGCCGACACCAAGGATGCCAATGCTCAAAGATTCCGACGACATCAAACAGTATTTGACTATGTTAAGTACCTGAGCATGGTGAGTCCCGAGCTAAGACGCTGGATTGTGGAGCGAGGCCCATCATCAGCCAATGAAGCAGTGGAAATGGCGGAAGCATTTGCTGCAGCGAGAATGGTGGACGGAGAATTCAAACTGGGAAACAACAACAAACCATGTCATCGCTACGCGCCAGGTAGATCTGAGGGTGTGGCAAGGGGTGGTCCAAAACTGCAGTTTAGCAAAGCTACCACACAGGGGAGCTGGCGTAACACTAATAAAAATGCAGAGAGGGATCAGAGTAGTGGAAAATGTCACCCTGAGAAAGTCTTTAAATGTTTTAATTGTAACCAAGTTGGACACAAAATGAATGCATGCCCGTCAGTGCAAAATAGTTCATCTCAACTGTGTTATTTACCCAGGAAGGAGAATAGCTTTAAACTTGCTGAAGACACTAAAGAGAGTGTTATTGCTGTAAAAATAGGCAACAAAACGTTTAAAGCTCTAATAGACACAGGAGCAAGTCAGACACTAGTGTCAGCAAAATGTGTGCCAAAAATCCATCTAAAACATGAGACTAAGCTCAGAGTGAAATGTATCCATGGGGAAGAGCAAATCTACCCAACAGCAGATGTGAACATTGAAATTAATGGTCAAACTTACCTTTTGAATGTTGGCGTTCTACAAAAAACACCTTATGCCGTGATTCTCGGGAGAGATCTGCCTATTTTGATAGACTTACTGGCGTCTAAACACAAAACAGCTGAAACCTTTGTAGTCACTAGAATGCAAGCTAAGCTAAATGAGGCTGAAAACAGCAAATTACTGCAAGAGCTGCCTTTTAATGAAGCCCCTAAAATCAGAAGGTCTTGTAGGGAAAGGAGGCAGGAAAAGGTTAAAGGCACGACCATGGCAGAACCTTTAAGTATGCCAGATGGTAACATAGATGTGTTACCTGGTAACATAAGGGAGCTACAGGAACAGGATGAGTCTCTTAAACCTCTGTTTTTAAAATGTAGTCATGGGAACAGCCTGGGCAAAACTGACATCCAGTTCAAGTTGAGGGACACATTTTATACAGAATAAAGAACAATGTAGAACAGCTAGTGGTACCTACATGTATGAGGCATAGAGTACTTAAAATGGGACATTCTGAGCCATGGGCAGGCCACTTGGGACAGGACAAAACTCAGAGTAGGATAGCAAACCGATTTTTTTGGCCAAGGTTACACCTAGATGTGACAGAGTTTTGCAGAACATGCCCAGAGTGTCAACTAACAGCCCCTCAGAAGAAGGCAGACAGGGTCCCTATGATTAACATGCCCATAATAGACGTGCCCTTTTCACGCATAACCATGGATGTAGTAGGACCTCTCCCCAGAAGTCGGGGAGGCAACCGCTACATCCTTGTGGTCTGTGATTATGCAACAAGGTACCCGGAGTGTTTCGCACTCAAGAAGGTTAAAACACGCCAAATTGTTAACGCTCTGATTCAATTAATTTCTAGAGTGGGTATACCAAGGGAGGTTTTAACAGATCAGGGTACAAACTTCACATCTAAACAGCTTAAAGAGGTCTTCTCTCTGTTAGGCATAAAAGGTATAAAGACCGCCCCATACCATTCCCAGACTGATGGCCTGGTTGAGCGCTTCAATAAGACACTCAAAAGCATGCTCAGAAGTTTGTTTCAGAGACTGGAGCTGACTGGGACATGTGGCTGCCATATCTACTCTTTGCCTACAGAGAAGTACCCCAAGCGTCCTCTGGATTTTCGCCATTCCAGCTTCTTTATGGCAGAGAGGTTAGGGGCCCTGCTGGATGTCCTAAAAGAGGCCTGGGAGGGACATGGCAACGTACAAAAGATCAATGTGCTGTCACATGTGCTCAAAATGAGGGACAAGATGGCTCAGCTGACTGAGATGGTCAGAGGCAACATGGAGGTAGCCCAGCATCGCCAGAAGCAATGGTATGACAAGGTTGCAAAAGACAGAGAGCTGCAACCAGGGGACAGAGCACTCATTCTTCTTCCTACATCTGACACGGGACTGTTAGCCAAATGGCAGGAGCCATATGAAGTGCTGAGAAAGATCAGTAAGACCACCTATGAACTGTTGCTGCCTGATAGAAAGAAAAAGAAACAAACTTTCCACATCAACATGCTGAGACAGTGGAGAGAGGCCAAGCCGAACACAGCTGAACAGTTATAGGTGAGAGCAGTTGGAGACGAAGAAGAGAACAAAGAGCAATATTTCCCAGGTACAGGAGGGACCAGCACCCCACTTGAGCTGTCACACCTCCACACTCACCAGCAGAAAGAGCTCATGAGCGTGATTCCACCAAACCTCTTCAGGGAGGAGCCGGGCAGGACAAGCATCATGCAGCATAACATCCATCTGCTGAAACCGGATCCCATCAGACAGACGAACTGCAGAGTGCCAGCACGCTTGATCCCTGATTTGAAAAAGGAAGTAGAGACTATGCTGGAGCTGGGGGTGATAGAGCCATCAAAGAGTGAGTGGTGTAGTCCTGTCATCCTAGTACCCAAGAAATATGGAGGCCTACGATTCTGCATAGACTTCTCCAAGCTCAATGCGGTATCTGCCTTCGACCCATACCCCATGCCAAGAACTGATGAGCTGATTGAACGGCAAAGTTCCTCACAACGCTGGACTTGTGCAAGGGATATTGGCAAGTGCCACTCAGTCCTGCAGCTCGCGAGTTGACGGCCTTTCGAGTGCCAACTGGGCTGTACCATTTCTCTGTTATGCCTTTTGGCCTGCATGAGTGGGCGCGACATTCCAAAGGCTAATGGACGAAGTGTTGACAGGAACAGAAGGTTTTGCAGCTGCCTACATTGACAATGTGGTGATATACAGTGCAAGCTGGGGAGAGCATGTGCAGCATGTGAAGGTGGTCCTGCAGAAGATCGCAGATGCAGGCCTGACAGCCAACCCATCTAAGTGCAACCTGGCTAAAGGTTCAGTTTCATACCTGGGTTATGTCCTAGGGGGTGGGGTAATGTGCCCCCAGGTCGACAAGGTAGAAGCTGTCCGAAAGACTCCGGCCCCAACCACAAAGAGATGGGTGAGGTCTTTCCTGGGTCTTGTTGGCTGGTACCGGAGATTCATTCCATTCTCCAGTAGGGCGGCAGCATTGACTAACCTGATCAAGAAGGACATGCCGCAGCGGGTGAAATGGACAGCAGAATGTGATGCTGCCTTCAAGGACCTTAAAGAGAGTTTTCTGTACAGACCCAGTTTTGAGCAGCCCGGACTTTGAGAAACAGTTTGTGGTCCAGACTGATGCATCAGGGTTTCCGAGAGAGGTGAACTATTCGACGGTCGAGAAAGAAGCCCTTGCAGTGAAGTGGGCTCTTGACTCTTTGAAATACTACCTAATGGGCTCTGACTTCATTCTTGAGACTGATCATCGTGCATTGCAATGGATGCAGAGAATGAAAGACAGCAACGCTCAGATTACTAGGTGGTATTTGTCGTTGCAACCTTTTAAGTTCCTGGTGCGGTACCCAAAAGGTACGCAAAATGTGACTGCAGACTTCCTCTCACGTTAGTCGAGCGAGTGACTAGCTGAATGGGGGGGATGTGTGATGGGGTCAGTAAATCTGTCCCATCACAAAGACTGTGAAAGGACACCAGGGCATAGAAAGGGGGGCAACGACTGGAGTGAAACCTAGACTATGGTAAAATGTACATAGAAGAAATACTTACCTGGTTCTGTCCTGATCCTCAGGGGAGTGCGGGCGCCTTCCAGGGCTTCCCTTATACTGGCCGGTAGAGCCCATGGCTGTGTGTAGGAGGGGGGAGGTGGGATCCGAGAACCTGGGGGGAGAGACAGAAAAAGGGTAGGGGTAAATTAATGTAAAAGAGTGTGATTACCGGTAAAAGGAAGCTTCTTGTTATGTGTATTATTTGTATTGTGTTTATTGTCCTGAAGTTGTTTGGTTATTGTTTGTTTTGTGTATCCCCTCACTAGCCCTGGGGAATGGTTTGGGTTAACCAGATGGGGTGGGGCTAGGGTGTTAAAAGGGGGGTGAAATTCATTTGAGGGGGAGGAGAGAGGATGTGTCTATATGGCCTTGCGGCCGCCGGCACAACCTGGCTGACGCCTAGCCAGGAATATCCGTAATAGACTGCTTAGATGCTTGGAAATAATCCATTTCTGTCTTAGTCATTTTAGTTGCCCTGCAGCCCATTTATTTTATGGTTACAATATTTTCTTTCACTTTTTGCGTGCTTGTGTGCAAATAAAATATCACGTGTGTGTAAGTCGAACTTTGGAGCCCCGCCTGATCTTTTCGAGGGGAACTTAGCCTCTAAACCATCACGCTACACGTAGACTAGTGCAGTTTTGCAATCCCCACACCCCAACATTCCCACACAGTGCAAGTTGTGGGCCCTTACTGAACCAGATGTGTGCCTTTTCAAACTATGTCCACTCAATTCAAATTGCAGCAAATGGACTCCAGTTGTGTTCTAGACAGGATGTGACTGGATGCAATGCGGAGTGGCCCAGGCTTTTGTGAAACACATTTCAACTTTTGATTTTTAATTTTTCTTAAAACATGTTTTTTATTGTCATTATGGGTGATTAAGTGTATGGGTCTTTTTTATTTGGATTTGTATGAAAAGTTATGGTTCAGTGGAAGAAGAGACTCAGCATAAGATGATCTGGCTGGACAATCGTAAGCTGGTCCTGGAGCACAACATGCTGGCTGACCAGGGCATCGAAAGCTACAGACTCGGCATGAACCACTTTGCAGACATGGTGAGATCTCACTTAGACATTTCATTGCACAATTCACTGAATCTTTTCTCAACTCTGTTGATTATGTGCTCTTCAGTAATCATATTTTACTTTTGGGAAGTCGCAACTCTCTCTTCTTCTCCAACAGGACAACCAGGAGTACCAGCAGATGTTTAAGGGCTGCCTGGGATCCTTCAAGGAGTGTGAGATTGATAATGCAACTACATTCTTCCAACCGGTAGAGGGTGCAGCTCTTCCCAGGACTGTGGACTGGAGGAAAAAAGGCTATGTGACTGAGGTTAAGGACCAGTGTCATTGTATGGCCTGCTGGGCCTTCAGTGTGGTGAGTTACAGCAGGACAGACAGAGAGGGAGAACCAGATGGACGAATAATTTGAAGTAGTTTTGGGTGGTATGGGAAAATATTTGTCATGGTATAATTAAAATTCGGTATATATCAAGATATTTCCAAACAAACTTAGATGTTTAAGTTAACCTATTTGAAAGGGGCTTATTATTCTGGGACGCCCCTTTTCAATTAGAAACATTTTTTAACAACTAAAGTAAATCCGAAATATTTTTACTGTGCAGAAAAAGGTGGAATGCAACATTCGAATGTTAGTCTCATGTGGTGGCCCTACACACTCATCTCTCCACCTGTCAGACACTACTCGAATTTGGAAACAATTATAGTTATTCATGTTACAGAATATGTTAAGATCTGTTAGCTAACTGGTTATCTTTTCTTAGCTTAGTTGCTGACAGATACCAGATTAAACAGGAACGTAAAGCGCTTACATTTGGCATTAAAAATATTCTTCATGAAAAGAAACATCAATACTCTGTACATATGCCATTCTTGGTATTGTTTTATTACAGACTTTGAATAAAAGATGAAGAATCCTCATATGTATCTAATGTGAAGTTGCTCTTATTATTTAGCATTAGCTCACCTGAAGCTCTTCTGAAGTGGCAGCTTCCATTGCCAAAGTCCAGGAAACAAGATTGAATCAGAAATCACAACAATACTGAGAGAGCAAGGCAAAAGGCAAGGTCAAAAACAAACGAGGCAATGGTCATATACAGTGAAGGAAGCAAACAAGCAGACTGGAAGGCTCTGGAAAGTCAATACTTTGGAACTATCCTATGCTAAAGCCCAGGCTTAAATACCAAATTAACAAGCACAAGAAACAAGGAACAGGTGTGGGTAATCAGTAGTCAGGTGAAGCAGACCGGTGGAGAGTCATGTGAAGGAGATCAGAGGTGATGTGATCATGTGAGGTGTTCTGGGAGATGGAGTTTGGAGGCTGGGAGGCAGCGGGAATGGAGATAAGCGTGACAGGGACTGAGCAAACACAGAGGGAATAAATACACTGAGGGGAAACAAGAAACACCTGGGACTAATAACAGGGGCTACAGACTACAGGCAGGTGACAAGGGGCCGGACCAGGGAGTAGACAGGCCAAAACAACAACAAAGGCACATTTCACAAGAAAAAAAAGGCACATGGCAGACATAAACAAAAACACATGGCACTGGGAAACAAGAAAAGCAAGGCTAAAACAGAGAAAGACAAAGACGGAATAAGACAGGATGTTACACATTACAAACATAACAACCCTTCCTTGAACACTACTACTTTGAATAATATGAACTAGAGTGGAAAATCTCTGGAGGGATTGGATTGTTCTTTATGTAGGTACACTGTTAGAAATAAAGGTTCTGTGCAGGTACATTTTTCGATCATTAAGGTAAAACAATGTAAATGTACCTCAAAGGTACAACAGTGGTTTTAAGGTTCAATTGTGTATCTTAAATAGGTTTTTCCAGGTGAAAAGTAGGTATTTGAACCTTTTCATAACCCAAAGTTTTAAAACAGAACAATAAAATAAAAAGCCTGTAGACGAGACGGGGTATGTGGAGTATTATGTTACAATTATGTTCCCTGACTAAAGGTACTGAGATGTATCCTTGAGGGTACCACCCCAGTGACAAGAGGGGTACTGCCCCAGTGACTAGAAGGCTCTCATTCACTGCTCTCGTTTGGAGCACAGGAAACACTGGCTGCCACTCATCTGTGATAAAATGTGCTGTTACGGTGACATAAAATCCAGTAGCAATAGATGTCCAAGCAACACATGTCACAGCCGTCCTACCCGTTTTCTTTTATATATTTTTTTTTATTTTGTAACTTTAATTTTGGTCTCGTTGTAGAGAGTGGGGGATCGCTGTGTCAATATCCTCAAGACGGGACCCTGTATCTCGGCTACAAAGTGTGCAACATAGCGCGAAAGCCCTGGTTCTCAACGACTGAGATCTGGGGTGCAGACTGCAGACATTGCAATGCAGTCTCGCCTGGCTAGTAGTGCATGAAAAGGCAAAGAGATTTAAGATGAACATTTGGAGATGAATGGACTTATTTGCATTTATAAGCAGCGCAGTTGGTTTCCTGGAACGTTAAACCTGCAATGAGAGACTGTCAAACACTAAAAAGTTGCGAAGATGAAGTCAGCTTCTCTTTCTAATTTTCACATTCCACCTTAAATGGTGCCACATTTACATTTTGGTGCCTCAGGCAGAATTTAAGGTGGAACGGGAAAATTCGAACAAGAAGCTGGCGAATAAGAAGCGACTTCAGCCTCGTAAAACAGTTGAACATGGAGAGATGTTTTACAAGAAACTGTTCAGCTTTTGAGGAAAAGTTTTCTGGTGGAGATGGGAGGAAAGCGGCTATAGCTAAAGCTTAAAGCAGAGCAAAGTAAGTCCGAGTTTTCATTTATATTTTTAGCCTATGCTACAACATTATCACATACTGAGATATATTGGACATTAAATGTTGTGGCTCCCAAGGTGGTTTGGATATTTTGTTGAAATGACAAAATGGCTCTTCTTAACATTTGAGTTGTCGACTCCTGACCTAACCTAGCTTTTAATGCAGAGGGTGCCGGTCGGACTTCTCGCTCATCCAGTTGTGTTTTTGTTATGTGCTGTCACAGATTGTCCGGGCGCTGCACTTCTGCACTTCCAAGTTCCGCCTTTTGTGTTTCGTCAAAAATACGTTATAAATATTTAGAAAATCGATTTTTGACATTTGTGAATCAATTCAGAATCGCCCAGTGCTAATTGCTGGGGTCTTGGTTGTGAGCTTTATAGCTCCAGTGTAGACTTTTTTTGTTTTGGCACCATTTATCTACATTTGGAGTGAGAGAAAAAGTTTAGAAATTTGCTTTTTGAAACTATCCCTTTGAATATTCCTGCTTGTTCAGGGTGTCTGGATTTGCCTGATTTCTAAGCTTGCATTATTATCTGATTTACCAGATACTTAATTGATTAGTTAATCGTTGAATATCCTAATTGAAAGCTGCTAACTTGAATGATTACAGGTGTGTATGATGAGCCGAACTGCAGCAGCACTAACCTGACTCACGCCGTCCTGGCTGTTGGTTATGGCACTGCCAAATGCAGAAAGGACTACTGGCTGATCAAGAACAGGTAAACAAACAAGTTAGCAAAACATTAAGAAAGTTCCTGATTGTTGGAAGGGTAAACAGAAGTGCAACATGGTCTGGGAAGGTTTGGTGCCTGATTAAGAGGACAAAATGAATATCCAACATTCACAGTAATTTGTTTTGCAGCTGGGGTGTTACCTGGGGTGATAAAGGCTACATCAAGATGTCCAGAAATAAGAGGAACCAGTGTGGTATTGCCACATATGCTTACTACCCTGTGGTTTAAAGGTTTAAGCTGGAGCTGGGATGGGATCTCAGAATTAGAAATGGCCTACATCAATAAATATGTTGTATCTCTAAATATAATAAATAAGAATGAAAATTAAGGATGCAGCAGTTCATGTGAATTAATTCTGTTATTTATTTTATTTATTTTTGTTTACAGACTGGAGAGAGAACCTGAAACACCCCAAGAAAGCGAATGAGTTTTACAGACTGAACAGAATTTATTCACCAGTGCAGCAAAAAAGTTTTCTTTTGACATTTATCTCTTAATTGCCTTTACATTACATTTCTTTTTCAGTTATTTTAAAGTAGAATTAGCATTAGCTAAACCACTATCTTTTCTGAAAATACAAAACTAATCTCAGTGTGAAATATTACTGTTTCTGACTGCTCAAAAACAAAATAAACTCTCAGCATTTACAAAATCTATAATGGCTGTAATTCATTCCAACACCTCACACCAGCATACACACATTAAGATCCAGCAGCAAAACGTTATGTAGAGTTTACATCAGTATATAAATGAATTGTTTTAATATGCAAGTCTACTTGTCAGGTCTACTTGTTAAGTAGGTGACTCCATCACACCACCTTGTGAGGACACTAAGGCTGGCTCTGATCTCTTTGAATGGCTTTCATGCGGTTCGGTGCTTTTGCACATTTGAGACATTGTGTAACGCTGGGCTGATGAACCAGACACTCGCAGATGTAAAACAAACCTTTTTGTTTAATAAACAAAAGGTTTATTAAAAGGAGAATGATATGAAACAGTAGGGTTAACTCCAGACCAGGATAAAAGCAAGAATAGCCAAACACGGTGCATAGGAACAGACAAAAAGAGTAATGAGTAAACAGATGAGGATCTAAACCAAAAAGCAAACCAACCGGTAACCTTAGCCAAAGGGGTAAATCAAAGAATCAACAACAGTAGACAAAACAGGGTCATAACTAGAAAACAAACTACAGACAGAAGGCTCAGTGTGCACTGGTAGACAGAGGCAATACCTCACAATGAGAGAGATAAACAGACAGGTATATATGCAAGAGCAAACAGTCTACAAAAAAATGGTATCTTCTCAAGTGAAATGATCTTAAATCTAGTCGATATATCTAATATTTCCCATTTTGAGATGGTTGTACACTTATTATCAGATCTTCTAGCTTATTTCTAGATTTGATTTAAATTAAGCTCACAACAATCTCAACAGAAGAGATATCAGGTGTATTGACTATATTTAAGATAAGTGTACTTGTCAAGACACCCTTTTTTGCAGTGCAGGTGAAACCAGTTAGAATTGAGGTGACTGGGATCTGCTGACTGACTGATGAGTGGATGGCTAGGTCATGTGAATGGTGAATGCATCTTGGGAACTGGAGTCTATAAGACAGTGAGAGTCTGTTTGAGGGCTGGGAAGCGTGACTCATCGTCCCAGGCCCAGCATCAAGGGGGCATTTAATGAAGCAATGCCCAGCACCACCTGTCAATCATCATGCCCCATTAAACCCACACATTTTTATACAAGCTTCTAAACCTGACTAAACTGCTGGTGAAAACCTGATGTGAGGCCCACATTGATGTTTATCAAAGTACAGAAGGCATTCTACACCTG